TATTTTAACCTTTTTATTATGACAACTAGAAAAGAAAATTAGGATTACGTTACTTGATAAAAAAAAGAAAAAGAAACAAAAATCAGCAACTGCAAACCTTCCAGCCACACAGGCAGTCAGTCATCAGGAGCTGGGGTCAACCTGACAGTACCTCCGTTTTTGTTCTTTTCGTTTTATTTCACAGTCCCCATGCAGTCACATTACACTGCTCTTCACACAGGCACACAAATGTGTATGAAAATGATGACATTAACAACCAAAACACCATCACTACACTGCCACAGGACATTTATTCCTGCATATGGGCCCCGCCCTATATGCTCTGAATATCTTATCTCACTGAATTTGTACCACTATCCTGTGAAGTAGCTTCTCCTATGCTGACCCAGTCAACAGAATGCACTGTTGTATTATAAGCTCAGACTCTGAAGCTCATCTGTCTGAATTACCTGTTGGCTGAATGCTCCTCCACAGGTCCCTCTGTAATAGTAGTAAGTGCCCACAGGGCTGGCATGAGAATTAAATGAGTTAGAATACACCCAGCCTAGCTCACATCCCTCCGCCCAGGAGCATTCATGTTACGTTTGCTCTTGTAATCCCGCTTACACAGGTAAGATACTGCTGCATGTGGTCAGTTTAGTGGTAGAATTCTTACTTTCCAAGGAGGAAATTCAAGTTAGACTTCCATTCAATGCATCTCACGTGCAGCTATGATGGTGCAAGATTTCAGAAGAGCTTTTAAACGAAGATGGACTAAAGAGAAAAGTCTAGTAATCGACTCCCCAAAGTCAGCCAGTAGAAGCTCTATAGTATCGATCGATAATCAGTTGTGGACATGATGCAGGACGGCAGCATTCCGTCTGGGGGCAGGGAGTCACCCTGAATCAAGAGTCAAATCTTGCACACCCATGTTTATCGTGGCTTTGTTCATAATAGCAAGGAGTTAGAAACAACCTAAGTGTCCATAGAGAAGCTGTGGTATAGTCACACAATGGAATACTACGCTGCATTGAAAAACAAGGAACTCATGCAATATTATTCAAAATGGGTGACCATGGAGGACATTATGCTGAGTGAAGTGTCTCAGTCACAAAAGGACAAATACTTCATGGTGCCACTGTTGTAAAACATGACTGACATAGGGGTTGGGGAGACACTGAGAAAGATGGGTTCAATAATGTATACTGCATTGAAACAGATGAGGGAAAAAACTGTTTAAAAGGGATATGTGATCAGGTAGTTTTGTCATAACAGGAGCCCAGAGCAAAGGCTGCATAGTGGAGTGGACCTAGGAAGAGGGACTGTTAAACAATGAAAGAATTTTCCTTTTACTTTTCCAAGAGGGTAGTGTAATGGGGGGAGGGTTGGAGAAAAGTGCAACAATGAATGAATGGAAATTCAAAGTCTCTCTATATTTTCATTGAAATTAATAATAATAAAAAAAGAAGAGTCAAACCAACAACAGCTAGAGAGACAACATTGCCATGTCAGGGCAGTCCTCAGTAACAAGAAGAAGGATGATCAGTGCGAAGAGAATTCTAACTTGCTGTACAATTTAACACAATGGTTGTTTCCAACATATCAAACGTTAGTATCTAACTTGTACCTCAAATTAAAGTTTTAAAACCTTTATATTTTTTTTCAAATATAATAGAAACAATTCACGCCTAAGACTCCCAGGACCTGGAGGGATCTTCAGAACCTACACTCTGAAAGCCTCCTCTAAGACGGCTGTCCTTCCAAACGGACCTTTCCTCTCCCACCAGCCTGTAAATTTTCCCCCTAAGCCCTCAATTCCCTCTTCAGCAGCCAACTAGGCCATTCTGAAAGCTCTGTCCTGATCTGAGCGCCTCTTACCTGTGCTTCAGGCGAAGCTTAACTCCTCCCGACCACGCCGCTTTCCTCTGCTGGGGCTCTGAAGGGAGGGGCTCAGGGTTGAAGGTGTCAGAGGTGCCAGTGGCCGCATGGCTCTGCTCTGCCCATGTGTCTCTGCAAAAAATCCAAACAAACAAGAAAACAAGAAGGTGAGTATGATGGTGTCCAGAAGCACGTGCATAAATGAAAATGGCAATGAAGGAACATGAAGGTTATAGAAATTCAAAAAAGAAAAGAACACAACCAGCCTTAGTGACTAAGTCAGTTCCGGCTCATGGTGCCTCCACAGATGGCCAAGTAGATCTACACTCTATAGAGCGTTCAGCAGCTTCTTTTTCAGAAGTAGATAACCAGATCTTTCTTCCAAGGTACATCTGGTTGGACTTGAACGTCCAATTTTATGGTTAGAAGTCTAACGCATGAATTATTTGCTGCACACCATGATTCCTTTTATGACGGTAACTCACTCAAAACTTCATCACTATCAGGTGATAACTGACTCACTGCGTCATGACCCTCCAGTGGGTTTTCAGAGGTTGTATATCGCACAGGAATAAACAGCCCATCTTTCTCCCTTGGAGATGCTTGTGGATCCGAATCACAAGTGAGGCGCCACCTATGGGTTAGGAGTGCAATTCCCTGTGACGCCACCAGAGTTCCCTCATATGAAGGTAAACTCTCCTATAATTCAACATCTACTGGTAAGTAGACTCCCTGTTGGGAAGGTCTGCAGTCAACGACCTCTCCAAAGTACTGAAGAGCAATGATGCTAATTTGTAGACTAAGGTGTACCTGATTCAGACCACAGTAACTTCAATCATCTGCTATGCATATGAAAGTTGGACAATGAATAATGATGACAGAAGAAAAAACTGATGCCTTAGAGCTGTGGTGTTGCAAGAGAGTACTGAATAGCCCAAGGACGGTGGTGAGAATAAACAGATACGTCTTGGAGAGGGTGAAGCCAGATTGCTCCTGGCAAGCAAGAATAGTGAAGCTTCATCTCACATTCCTTGGAAAGGGACATCATGCTTAGAAAGGTAGGGAGGTGGGGAAGGAGAAGCAGCCTCTCAACCAGGTGGAATGACATAATGACTACAGCAATGGGCTTGAGTGTGTCAGAAATTGTGAGTTTGGCACAAGACAGGACAGGGTTCATATCTTTTGTCACGTCACTATGAGTACTACTCAACTTACCGGTACCTAATAATAAATAGTAATGCAGAAATGAGTGAAAAATTGGACTGACTGATGGATGCATACCATCTAACAAGGCAGTCATCCTGAAATCCAGTCACTGCTGCCTCAATTCCACTTTTAAGAGTGTAGAAAGCATTTGTTCAGATGGAGATGCCAATTTGTGAGCCAGGGCAAGTTCAGATTACAAGGTTCCACTGCATGGGAGGCAAGGCTTTTGTGTGTCCATTCAAACAGAAGCTCCCACTGTCAGTCTCTAACATCAGTCCTCTAATTCTTTTCCATATTTCCAGAAAGTCAGAGAAAACTTTTCAACCCCACATCACCAATGCATTCCACCAAGGAAACAAACACCTCTCTTCTCCTGAGAAAGAAAGCTGTGAGTCCTGAAATCCCTGACTGCACCTTTGACGACGGACTCTTCCCTGCACTCGGCTGTGAGGTGGGTTTTGTGCTCATTTCACTGGTTGATTGATATATTTTCAATTTCTAGCTTTGAGGATCTTTCTCAGTCCCCAAGAGCCAACTGGCAGCCCCTGGGCGTCTCTATGAACAGGAATGTGGAGATGGTACAAGTGAGTCCACTTCCCGCTCTGCACAGGCCCTGGCTGGGTGGAGGCAGGATTACCCACCCGCTGCTCAGTATAAGCCCCGACCATCTGGTCTTATGTTTCCTGGAACAGAGAATCCAAGTGAAGGGCTCTCGTTCTTCAATCTGAAGGAAAATATAAAACACATGCTCTTATTGCGGGAGTAAAGACCTGAGTAGGACATCTATAGGTAGTTTCTATTTCTAAGCAATTTCCATCTGTATTTCGGTATGCTTTGAGCACTACCACTTCCTCGTGAACACACATTGCTTTTCTCATCACATTAAGGGTTCAGGGCTTTCAACATATTAGTAATTCAAGATTTGAGAGCTGAAGACTTGGGTTGAAGTTCTGTCATACATCAGCCAAATAAAATCTCAGCTCCTCATCTGTACCATGAAATAAAAGACAGTTCACACATGGATCGGAAGGAGCATGGCTCTGGAGTTTGAGTTTGATTCCTGGCTCTGCTCACTGACCAGCTCTATGACACTGTCCTCTCTGGGCCTTGGTTCTCTCATCTGTGAAATAGGTGCAAAAGAACCTCTGGTGATACATACGGTTTTCACTGGCCAATTTTTAGAACTAAACTATCAGGTTTTTCTTTTTAGCCAGGTCTAGAAGCTCAGAAGAAAGATTATGCAAGCCTCCACTGACAGATATTGTGGCTGTTAGGTGCCACTGAGTAGTGTATGACTCTTAGCAACCTGAAGAACAAAAGATCTGACCCCTGTTTTATCCAACGCCATCCTCACACTTCCTGACACAAGAGTCCATTATAGAAGTCATTTGTAAATCCACCTGTTTGGTTGAGGGTCTTCCTCTCCTTCACCAGCCTTTCACCCTTCCCAGCATTATGTTCCTCTCCAAGGAGTAGACCCTCATAGCAACATGCCCAAAGTATGTGAGGCAAAATCTCATCATTTTTGTCTCCGAAGAGTAATCTGGCTCTCTCTGCACTCTTTCCAAGACATATTTGTTCGTTCTCTTGGCCGTCCATGGCATGATCAGTGCTCTTCTTCAACACCACAGCTCAAAGGCATTAATTCTTTTTCTTTCATCCTTATTCACTGTCCAGCTCTCAGATGCATGGCAAGTAATCAGAAAGACCACCATACCTCCATCAGTATGGGATTCAAAAGTGAATTATTTTCATTGTTGCTTTACAACAGTCTCTTCAGTTTAGAGTTTCTTTTGGCTAAGATGGGACTCAAAAGAACTGTGACTAAAATGATATCATTTAGGAAGGCTGGAAAGAAGAGCCTAACCCAGAAAGTTAAGATGATTAAAGGCTTCTACAGACCTCACCAGGTGGTCCACAATCAACATTTCTTACACAACCTTCTGAGGCACCAACTCCCAGTGGCCACTGGGAGATGAGATATCTCATCTCAAATGCACAAGCGGCAAGTCTGAAGAGCCACTGCACTCTGACAACAAGAGAGGCTTTTCCTTTCCAAACGAACATTAAGAAATCGTCTCCTCAACACTGTTAACACTGCCTATTGTGGGGGTGGGGAATAAGGACCAGTCTAAAGCTTTCACAAACCCTCAGTGGCCTTTAGTAGCTTCCTTGTGTTTGTCTAAACCACAATTGCCGGCTCCATTCTTCACAATGGCTGAGGCGGTGAAGGCTGGCATTTTCCTTCTTCCTTTCAGACTCCCATTCCTGGGAAATACCAAGGAAAGGCAGGCCCAGGGATGCACGGTCTCTCCGTGCAGGGCTGACTGGCAGGGAGAGGAGGCAAGTGGGGAAGAGATGGAAGCACGAGGGACACGGACACATGGTCTTATCTCTTTAAGCATTTCCAGAGCATGATTCCCTTTCAGCCACAGGAAGGCAGAGACCAGCATGGCCTCCCACGGTCACATGCTGTTCTGCCATTTATCTCCTCTAAAAGACCAGCTGAAGTGAGCATGGGATACAAGGGGTGATGAGACCTATGTTGATTGAACCCCAGGTAAAGCTGCAGTGCAGCCTCCCTGCTAACTGCCACCTCCTTACCGCTCTGAGTGGCCAGACAAGAGTTCTGGGGCTCTGACTATGTGGTGGCCTGGCTGCCCGAAAAACTAGGGAAGGGCTGCAAGGAACACTGGGAGAATCACCAGTGCTCTGAGGGTACTGTTCTGCCTTCAACTCCTGGAATAACCTGGGCAACAAATGTTGTTGTTGTTGTTGTTGATTGCCTTCCAGTAGAGCACGACTTATAGTGACCCTATGAACAAAAGGCCCGAAGTCCCTCTACAACTATCGACATTTATCAAAGTTCACAGAGTTTCCGGAGGCATGTTTAATAAGAGGTGGAGGCCTCTCCTGCTTCCAAATCTGTCATAGTATGTTATTATTGTTATGTACCATTGAGTTGCCTGCGACATATTGGGACCCTATCCATGCACAGCAACTCGGAACCCTGCCCTCTCCTGAGCCAGTCTCACTAATGCTGACACACCAGGCTCCACTGCCCCAGTCACTCTATCAATCAATCAATCAATCAATCTCATCTGGGGTCTTCCTCTCCTGTGCTGCCCATCTACCTTTCTGAGCATGATGTCCTTCTGTCCTTCAGTCTCTCCTGACTACAGGGCAACAAATAAGCCAAAATTCAAAAGAAATTTCACAGTAAACCCAAACACAGAACAACAATGAAAAATTTCTCAAACCAGAAGAAAGAAATGTTACAAAATACAACTGCGGTCTGTACAGTTTGATCAGCTGTAATCTTTCAAGAAGCAGGTATTATCCTATGGTGCCACTGGGTGGGCTGAAGTTGTCATTCTTGAGGTTAATGACGGAACACAACCTATGAAGGCAGTTGTTAAGTGTTGTCATGGCGACCCTATGAAAAACAGACCTGAACCCTGTCTTATCCTGCCATCCTCACCATCTCTGATCCCATCTCTTGAGCTGGCCCACGGCTACCCTGTGACAATTAATCTCACTGAAGGTTGTCCCCTCTTTTGCTGACCCTCCCTCCACCTTCCCAAGCATGATGCTCTCTCCAAGGAATAGCCTCTATTAGCAACAAGCATGTGAGATCAAATTTTGCCATCCTTGCATCTAAGGAGCACTCTGGCTGCAATTCATCCAAGACATATATCTGTTCGTCCTTTAGGCAGTCCACGGGATATTCCGTTCTCGTCTCCAACAACACAACTCAAAGGCATCAATAATTCTTTAGTCATAAAGAATCCTGGAATAAAAGGTGGAAGAGGAAGTCCCCCCTCCCCTCCAGTCCTGCACCTGTCCCTGGAACAGTGGCTGAGCCCTGCCCTTCCCTGCCAGTTATCTTATCTGGACCCTGAACCCATGCTGTCTCCACAGGCACA